GCTGGCCCTTTCCATTGAACCAGCTAACCTTCCTCCTCTTGATAGATTTCCTGAGTATACAGATCCTTTGGAGGACACTCTCGCAATCATGACGGAAATTGCTCCCAAGCCGTCGCCTCTTGCTAGGCTTCAGTCAGATGGCACTGACACAAGCCGAGGCGCCTCGCCTCAACCTTCCCACATCAGTATTCCTTTGCCTCATAATGGCCACAAGATCCTCCGATCCGCCACAGTGGGCTACATTGCCCCAGAGTTCGTTGGAAAGCTGGAGCAGATGAAGTCAGGTATGTGGTTTGAGAACATCCCCTAAAAGACATCTGGAATTAGCTCGACTAACTGGCCTCGCTGCAGTCAAGGAGATCATCCAAGCTGCTGGCTGGTTGCCCGAAGTCGTCATTGATGAACAGATCCAATGGTTCTACGAGAAGCTCGGAATTGATGATGTTTACTTTCACATCGAAACTCCCGCTGTGATCGCCAACCAAATCACTTCTTTATATGCCGCCAAGGTTGCTGCATCCGTCCGGGAGGACAGACAAGAGGAGATCCGCCTCGACATGGAGGCAAACGACCATGCCATCTACATAGACACCAGCATTCCTGGCAAGGCCCTAGTCGGCGGACCTCAGTATGAGAAGCGTCTTGAGGCCAAGTACCTGGATCACCAGGGCACTACCAAATACCGTGTGGAGACATTCCGATCCCCTGCAGTGATCGGCAACAGCCCCTCCTCCCAGGCTACTCTCCGCTGCTACTTCGTCTACCAGTGTCTGTTCAAGCAGAAGCCTGAGGAGACTGACCCCAAGGAAACACGCCTCGAAGTCATTTCCGACCATGGATTTTGGCAAAAGGCAACTGCAAACACCAAGCAGATCTACCAAGAGATCATCGAGCTCGCCGTCAACCGCACTGGCCCAGTCATCGAGGTCTATGACCTGGAGGGCTTGGCTGAGAAGCGTCTCGTTATCGCATTCCGTACTCGAACAGCCCATGGCCTGTTCTCTGCTTTGAGCGATCTCTACCACTACTATGGCGTTACCAGCTCCAGGAAGTACTGCGAGCAGTTTGCCAACGGCATTACCGTCATGAGTGTGTACCTGCGCCCTGCACTCGCTCTCGACGGCGATTACCCCCCACTGGAGGAGTCCATCCACCAAATCACCAAGGAGATCTCCCTCCTCTACTGCATTCCCCAGAACAAGTTCCATAGCCTGTTCCTCACTGGAGAACTCAGTCTGCAAGAGTCCGTGTACGCACATGCCTCTTGGGTGTTCGTTCAGCACTTCCTCAACCGTCTCGGCCCCGAGTATGCCTCTCTCTCGGAGCTGCTTGATCCCAAGGAGAAGCCCCAAGCCGCTCTTCTCCTGTCCAAGTTGAAGCGTCGTCTTCGTACTGAGACCTTCACTCCGGATTACATTTTGGAGATCATCAAGACCTACCCCAGCCTCGTCCGGGCCCTCTATGCTTCCTTTGCCAATGTCCACCTTGGCCTCTCGGAGGCTGCCCCGGATGATAATGCTCGCCCCTCCAGCATTGAAGTACTGTCCGATGCAAAGCTTCAAGAGAAGATCTCTTCCACCGTGTCTAACGAACACGATGAGATGGTCATGACTGCTTTCCGAGTCTTCAACTCTGCTATTCTCAAGACCAACTACTTCACACCCACCAAGGTGGCTCTCAGCTTCCGTCTGGATCCTTCCTTCTTGCCCGCTGTTGAGTACCCCAAGGCTTTGTACGGAATGTTCCTCGTCATCGGTGCTGAGTTCCGTGGCTTCCATCTTCGATTCCGAGACGTTTCTCGAGGTGGTATCAGAATCGTCAAGTCTCGCAGCAAGGAGGCGTATGCCATCAACGCCCGAAACCTCTTCGACGAGAACTACGGTCTTGCCAACACCCAGCAACGCAAGAACAAGGACATCCCTGAAGGTGGTTCAAAGGGTGTTGTTCTCCTTGACCCCAAGCAGCAGGACAAGCAGCGTGAAGCATTCGAGAAGTACATTGATAGTATCCTTGACCTTCTCCTCCCTGCCGAGACCCCCGGAATCAAGAACCCCATTGTCGACCTCTACGGCAAGCAGGAGATTCTATTCATGGGTCCCGATGAGAACACTGCTGATCTGGTTGACTGGGCTACTGAGCATGCCCGCGTTCGAGGTGCTCCTTGGTGGAAGTCTTTCTTCACCGGAAAGTCGCCCAAGCTTGGTGGAATCCCTCACGACAGATACGGCATGACCACTCTTTCCGTCCGAGAGTACGTCAAAGGTATCTACCGCAAGCTTAACCTAGATCCCTCCCAGGTTAGGAAGATGCAGACCGGTGGCCCTGATGGTGACTTGGGCAGCAATGAGATCCTCCTCGGTAACGAGAAGTGGACCGCCATTGTTGATGGTTCTGGTGTGCTTGCCGATCCCAATGGTCTTAACCGAGAGGAACTTCTTCGTCTCGCCAAGAAGCGTGCTATGATTAGCGAGTATGACCTGACCAAACTCTCCAAGGACGGTTACCGGGTTCTTGTCGAGGATAACAACGTCACCTTGCCTAGTGGTGAGGTTGTGGCCAACGGCACCACCTTCCGAAACACCTACCATCTTAAGGACACTGGCAATGTCGATGCTTTCGTCCCCTGTGGTGGCCGACCCGAGTCCATTGATCTCATTTCCGTCAGCAAGCTTATCAAGGATGGAAAATCCACCATTCCTTACATCGTGGAGGGTGCCAACTTGTTCATCACACAGGATGCTAAGCTTCGCTTGGAGGCCGCAGGTTGTATTCTGTACAAGGATGCCTCTGCCAACAAGGGTGGTGTCACATCTTCATCGCTTGAGGTTTTGGCCTCGTTGTCGTTCGACGACGAGTCCTTCATCACAAACATGTGTGTCAACCCTAAGACCGGCGAGGCACCTCAGTTCTACAAGGACTATGTGAAGCAAGTCCAGAACAAGATCCAAGAGAACGCCCGTCTTGAATTCGAGGCTATTTGGAGGGAGCATGAGGCCACTGGCATCCCTCGCTCCATTCTCTCTGACACTCTGTCCTGGGCCATCACAGATCTTGATGAGGAGCTCCAGCAATCTGACCTCTGGAAGAGTGAGAGAATTCGATTTGGCGTCCTCCGAGACGCTCTTCCCCAGCTCCTTCTCGACAAGATTGGTCTCGAGACTATTGTTCAGCGGGTGCCCGAGAACTATCTCCGGGCTATCTTTGGTAGCTACTTGGCAAGCCGATTCGTGTATGAATTCGGTAGCCAACCCAGCCAGTTCGCTTTCTTCGACTTGTAAGTATTGACTCCTGCTTCCCATTTGGATTATCATAGGACATTGAGCTGACCACTTTACTCTAGCATGTCGAAGCGCACGGCTAAGATCGCAGCGGCGGAAAATGGCGTTCAAAAGGCATAAAGAGCATTAGCGATTGATTTTTTTTCTTTTCCATTTTTTTGCTTCTCAGGATCGCATCATGTTGAGGGGACGGAATGTCTAAAACCTAAACTATATGGCGTACAAATGGGCTTTGCATTTGCATACCACAACACAAACCGGAATGATGATATGAACTGGTTAATAAAGTAAAGAACGAGACGCAGCTTAGAATGCTGCTCCAATAATACAAATGAACTTTTCTTTCACATTTTGAGCATCTCTAAGAGGCCTGGGTTTCAACATATGCCTACGACCAGCCTCTAACATCGCGTTCGCGTCGCGTCTAGTGGTGGCCTTGATCGTAATCTAAGTGGTGAGAATATTAATGAGCAGTGGCCCGGCTGGGTCGTCTAGTGGTTTCAGCCCCCAGCTCCCGCCCGGGGACGGGTACCGTGCGCTAATCTTCTTGGGAGGACTGCCTCTTTCAGGGCACTAGGCTTAATTACATCGTCGCAGCCGCCAGGGAGCTGAGGTTGGGAGGAGGTTGAGGGAGGTTGATGTTGGCAGTGACCCCTTGCGAAAGAATGAGCATGCCGTGTGCCTCTCGGCCCCCTTTCCCCTGCTATGTTTTTCAGCTTCCCCATTTCTAAGAGCATCGAATGGACATTAATCGTCCCCCCTGTCTTGTTGCTGCCTTCCAGTGGAAGGGCCTAGCTAGTTTGGGTATCCTTGCCGGGACATCTTGAGACCCATGGCCCGTTTCAAATGCACAATACTTGTGACATAGTTATGCGCTTGGGGGGCCATCAATTGCCATGACTTCATTTGGGTACCTACTTATGCAAACATTGGGTACCGAGTCGCGATTTCATTCGAGGGGCGATTTGGATAGTCGGAGATTTGTGACGACGAGTGTATCTGAGTGAGGTTTATGTAAGGCCAGGTTACGCATCAAACCCGCTCCCGTGCCAGGGCATGATACAAAGTCGGGACCGGACCAAAATAGCAGCAGCATGGCTGGTTTCCGAAGAGGGCTGAGGGCCGTGGTGCCAGAATTGTGATGCAGCGAGACTTGCTGGCACACTTAGGTACCTTGATAGGCGTGGCTGGGCAGGCCTGCAGAAGGTATCCAGGGCCCCACAGTGAGTAGCTGTGCCGTGCTCAGACACTCCTCAGCAGTTTTCAGTGGCTCTGGAGGCGCTGGCGGCCTGGGAGGTACCTCCTGGAGGCCAATCACCCGTGTCTCAGCCCAGGAACAGCGCAATTCCCATCCGTTCCCTTGGAATGCTCACACAACGGCCAGCCCCCCAAGTTCAATCCAACCTCCATTCCTGGGCCAGGGTGCAAAGGAGAAAAAAACCCAAGATTGAGCCGGGGAATCCTATGCAACCCCCGTCCGGGCTGGCTTGAATGTTGGGACCCAAATTGCTTTCTTTCCACCCCCCCTTTCCCAGATCCTTTCACTCGACCATTCTTTTCCTAGTGGTGGCTGCAGGCGCGCATTCATTTTTCAATTTGCCTCGCGCACTACCCAACGCCTCCTAATCCCTTAGCGACCCCGACCAGACGATCCAACAGACCTTCTTTTTGCCGATCCGGGACGGTGGTGGACACTGACCTTGGGTGGTCTGACCACTCACCATGACGAGGCCGATGATCGTCCGCGCAGGTAAGTAAAACTCACCATCAAGAAGGTTGGTGAGGTGGCCAGTCGTGGTGTGGTCCCTGCTGCCCTGCTCCTCCTATCCATGCACGGCACATGTCCTGCCTCGACACACTTATGCAGGTTCTCAGCTCCTCGCTGCCTTTCCCTTGCCCGTCTAGCCGTTGCGAGAATTCACATCCCTACACCCACATCCTCCCGACTGCATGGCCACCGTCTGCACAACTTTCGTGCGCGAAGCTAACGTCCACTCCTTTCCCCCTTCCGAACAGACACAATCGATCTGCAGAATCCAGACGCTCCCTCCGCCAAGAACCACGGCCGCCAACATCTACATCCCACCGAGTCGACTGCTCCTCATCAGGCTTCCACCCTTCGTGAAGTTGCTCACGAGACCGCCGAGGAGGAAGCCCGGAGCCCTCACCTGTCCTGGAACAGCGGGTTCGCGACCGAGGAATCGCACAAGGAAGAACAAGAGGATCTAGCCGCCGGCGTGAGGGGCAGGATGACCCAGCAAGAGCAGGAGGACCAGCTGGCGATTGCACAGAATGGGGGCGTCTCATCGAGCGACGAGGGCGAGGACGATGGCGACCTGGACGATGACATGATGGATAGGATCTCGAGTTCACCCTCGATCGAAGATGGTGCGTTTGCTTTTAATTCATGGCCGAGGCGCGTCTCGTCTCTCCCGCCACGGCCCGGCCATTCTTACTCTCTCATCACACGCGGCTCAGGCAATGAGCCTTCCCCGTACACCAATGTTGCACACTACTCCCCTCTCCACAGCACAACATCCAGCCTACAGAGTCATCGTCATCGGCGTGGTGAGTATAGCGGCGACGCGGAAGAGGGCTGCGTCACGAGACCAGTCGGAACAGCACCGGCACGAGGAGAATCGTCTCTTGAGCGAGTGGGCGGAATGTGGACTAGCCTTCAAGCCTAGGAGTTTGTGGACCATGACATGCATAACGATCAAGAAGGGGAAAACCTTGAGCCTGCGAAGCAAGGCCAGAGGGACAACCCGGCTGCCTGGCCTTATTACGATGACTCGAGTGACTACAGCGAGGATGGATTTGATGAGGAGGAAGCCGACGACCGACGGTGCGCCGAGTTGAAGAGTGGTGAAGCTTCTATACTTGCGACTTTGCTTGAAGAAGACGAAGACGAGGAAGGCGATGACTATGACGGTGATGATGACACTGGCTCACCCGAATTCTCAAATGACACTGACTACTCTGAATTTTGCTTTGCGGCGTCTGAATGCTTACCAATTGATTCAGAGGACATCGATTTCGACTTTGTTTATGCGCTGCACACATTTGTCGCCACTGTCGAAGGCCAGGCCAATGCGACCAAAGGTGACACAATGGTCCTTCTAGACGATAGTAACAGCTACTGGTGGCTGGTCCGAGTTGTCAAGGATAGTAGCATTGGTATGATTCCCACCAAGACAGCTCACCAGAGCCCCCCTCCCGGCTAATTGCGATGTTGGCAGGATATCTACCAGCCGAGCACATTGAAACCCCAACCGAGAGGCTTGCCAGATGGAACAAACACAGGAATGTTGATGTAAGTTGTGGTGATCGTAGTACCACATTTCGAGACGATATGCTCACAATATGAAAGCTGTCAGCAGCTATGTTGGGGGACAACCCGCAGAAGCAGAAGAGTACACTGAATAAAATTCGGAAGCGCTGGAAGACGGTTACCTTTACTGAGCCAACATATGTCGACTACTCTGACATCGACTACTCTTCGGATGAGGAGGACATCGAGGAGCTGTTTGGCCGAGATGTCACGGCAGGGTCAGGGCAGGACCAGGATCAACAGCAGGATCAGAAAGACAAGCAGGATAAAGAGCAGAAAGACTCGCAGCAAGATGCCAGCGATGACGACATGGTTGATGAGCGAGCAAAGGTAGAGCCTTTGAAGACGGGTTCTGCGGGCGTGTCCAAGGTTGACTCGAAGGAGGAGGCCAAGGCCGACGGATCCAAGGACGGCGATGACGTTGAAATCGAAACAAGGGACAGCACGGAGCTACTTGGTGGTCATGTTGACATGGTTGGCCGTTCCAGAAATGGAACTATGAGAAACACGGACTCGTTCTTCAAGGATGACACGGCGGAGACGAAGAAGATTACCCTGACTCCTAACCTGCTCAGAGATGATCTCGGATCTCGCCCGTCGACAGATTCCATTTCTACGAAAGACAAGGCTCGTCCCAGTCTGGAGAGCAAGATGGACCGCGAGTTTGTTTCGGATAAAGACAAGAAGAAACAAAAGGAGAAAGAGAAGAAGGACAAGGAAAAGAAACCGAGCACCATCCGAAGCTTCTTCTCTAGGAAGGATAAGAAACGCACGTCGGAAGATGATGACAACTCGTCCGGAAAGCGGTCCATGGACATCATGTCTGAGCCCCGACAGAGCGAGGATCCAATGGCTGATGAGCAACAGCCTCGATCAGCTGCCAAGCCTCAGAAACCGCAAGCCAGAGTGGAACCCTCCTTGGTACGCAAGAACTCGACCCAGAAGAAGAGCTCGGAGATCACCAACCCCTTCTCGGAAACTCGGACAAACGATGTATCCAATGTACCCCCCTCGACAATGCGCATCGTTGACCCCGAGACGCAAGAGACAAGAGAAGTCTCCTCGAACCAGCAACAGGCGGCCCGTGAGAGGTCGCAGAGAGACGAAAAGCCAGCTATTGGCAAGCCACAGCAACCATCGGTGGCGGCAGCTCAGCCGCAAAGGGTGGCTGCAGCTCAGTCTCGCATGGATCTCGACGATTCTGATAGCTCGGATGCCGCAGAGGCCCTCTTGCACGAGACACCAGAACCGGCCCAGACCCCGACGCCGGTTATCAAAGTGGAGACGGAGAGAGTCCGTAGCCCTCATGTACCTGGTGCGTTCCCGGTGCTGAGCCCGAAGGGTGCCCCTACGGTTCGTGCAGTTTCCCCAGAACAGGACATGGATCGACTCTCCGAGTCGCCCATCGAAGTATCTCCCATATCCCCCATCAACCCACACCAGCCCCCAGGCCTCATGGCAGATTACGCGCACTCACCCTCACCAGAGGGCTCGCCATCTCCCGACCTGGTCCATGTTGGGGAGAATTTCAAAGAAAACGAGGCAGAGGCCCCCCAGGAGCCTGCATGGGACGACACCAAATTGCGGGCCTTCTTTGATGAAGGGAAGCATGTCCGTGATCTTCTGGCCGTTGTCTACGATACGTCAGACGTCGAGCCTTCGGACTCAAGCGCTGGCAGCTTGTTCCGTGAGCAGAATGCCAGGTTGGCAGAGATAACAACGGTAGGTGACAATCTGGCGCTCATATTCACAGTACTATCAGAGGCTAACGGAATCGTGTGAACAGCAACTTGACAATATGTTGGGAGACTGGTTGGCCAGAAAGCAGCGCTCACGAGGAACCCTCCTATAAGCATGAGCCCGGCAGCGCCATGGGCTTATCCGTAAATACATTTCAAGTTTCAGGACCGGCATCACATGAAACCACACTGCAGAATCGACTCTTCTGCGATTTCATTTTCTTGAGTCTAACATTTTCAAACGGCGTCTGGGCACGGCAAAGGGAGGGCTGAATTATCAAAGGGCTACACATGGTCGCCTCGTATCCACGGCGACTCAGTCGGCCGCAGTTTCTTTTCTCTACTACTACTACTTCTTCTTCTTCTTCGTTGGCTCGATGTTGCATCTTGCTTCATCTTGGCTCATGGGGCGGCACGCGAGCTGTTTTGTTTTAACATGCACCTTTTCCTGTTGTGGCATCCCCCCTTTCCCTCGTCGGTTGGCACACACATACAAAACCCCCTCTATTGGGCATGAATGATATGAGAAGATCATACCCCCACCTGCGATTATTCGATTCGAATATACTTTGCACCCAAATTTCCCTTGGTTTTTTCTTGCATTTGGCTTCGAGTGTTATTTTTAAAAAGAAGAAAAGAGCTGCGTTGGAAATGGAGTTTGTTGTTTCGATTCAATATACCTACGATTTTATCGCTTCTTGATGCACTAAGCACTATCACGTGACGCGAAATGAGTGGAACTATCAACATGCTCGAATCCCCATTTGATGTAATGATTGAGAGGAACTCGGAAGGGTCATATTGCATGTCAGGTTTCACAGGAAAGACGCTCACTCGAACGGAGTTGCAAGTTGAATAGATTTGAAAGCAGGAGAATAAAGAAAATCCATGGCTGGCATACTTGAAGGTTATGAATCTTCCGAAGGGAGTCATCCACTGTAGCAGGATGTGAGATGTGCATTCATTAACAGCGCTCAACGGTATTGAGCCAATAAAAGAGGCTACGAAACTCTTGGAATGGGGGAGCATGATCATTCATCACGCAGATTGCTGATGGCCGCAGGTGAGTCCGTACCTAGATGCTCCAACACATGGATATTTAAGCTATTGGACAGTATACAAATACACATTGTGACCATGATGATCGTCATCATGGACAAGCCAAAGCACCTATATTCCGACCTTATCCAACACACACCCCTCCGATCAGTCGAAGGCCTCCTTGCGGCAAAGAAGCTGCTTACAACACAGCAGACCTCAGTAGCTGTAACAAGGCCACTCACTCAGAAGCAGATTGAGTTGCAGCTGCTGAGTCTGTGGTATTGTTCAGCGGCTTCGTCGCCGCGAGGATAACCCTGACTGATCGAAGACTTGTGTATTGGATAAATTCGGAACAGAGCTGCTTTGGCTTGTCCATGATGATAGTCATCATCTTTTCTAGAACCTGGCTATTTGCCCTGACTGGACCCTGTGTGGTAGGGACATAGCATCAGATACCGACAACATGGCTTGGAGAGGTATGGTTAAGGGCTTCTCCCCAGGGCTATGGCTGAGTTATACCACACCTCTCCCCAAGCCACAATGTCAGTCTCCGACACGATCATTCCCACCACCCAGGGTCTAGTATTTCCCAGGACCTGGTCACATGCCCTGACCCGGGCCTGGGTGGTGGGAATGATCACGTCGGATACGAGACATCGTGGCTTGGGGAAAGGTGTAGTTAACTATGAGCTTCCCCCAAGGGGTTTCGCCAAGTTATATCACACCCCTCTCCAAGTCCCAATGCCGGTATCTAATGTGATCCCTACCAAACAGGGCCCAGTCAGGGCAAACTGACCAAGTCCTGGAGAGTACCGGGCCCTTGGCTGACTGGGATGATATCGGATACTGGGATGAGGGCTTGGAGAGAGGTGTGGTGTTGTGATGAGCTTCCCCTCTTTGGGGGCCATGGCCAAGATATTTATACTTGTACTGGCCAGCCCCGAGTAGAGTTTTGTTTTCTGGGACATTGATGCCTACGCTTAAGCTATGTGTGTGGTTGTCTAAGTTTTCTTGGTGTGAAAGGTTCAGGCATGGCCCGTAATTTGTCTTGAGAATAAAACTTATGTGATGTAATTGGGTGTGTGGCTTGTCTTAGGATACCCCTTGCTTGATGGCGAATTGATGGAAACAAATAAATATACTGGCCAGCCTTTGGTAGAGTTTCTCGAGGCGTGGATGCCTGTGCCTCGACCGTACGTGTTGAAATTCTGACTTTTATTGGTGTGAAAGGTTCAGATATAGACTATAATCTATATTTTAGAAAAAACTTTCGGATGTAATCATGGGGTATGGTTTGATCTTGGGATACCCCTTGCTTAGATAGTTGAAAAGAATGAACATCGTGACCGGCTCGTAACGAGGTTGCCTTAAGGAACAATCAATTCTACTACCGGTCATTGATACTAGGGGTGGAAGGCTCTCGTTTCCCACTGCCGTTAAGGTAGAAATATAGCGTTATCCTCAGGCTTGGGGAACCGAGAAACAACTGGGCAGACGTGCAATGATTGGGCACCCGGATAAATCCAGATCAGATGATTTCGAGGTACATGGGAAGAGAAGGCACGTTTACGTGCCAAGCATCACAATACAGTCACACTCTCAGGAAGCCGAGCCATTCATTCAATGGTGCTTTATTTTTTTCATCCCTCTGGACCGTGCCAGAGCTCGGCGCCAGCAAAAGACACATAGGGAAAACCTGATTCCGATTTTTGATGCGCGCACCACAGAACTGAATTCGTAAAAGCAATTGCCTAACCCCGTCCTAATGTTTGATGAACACGGAAAAAAGAGAGTTTTCCCAAGCTTCTTTGTTAACTCATTCCCTTTTGCCCCCAATATATAACTCCTTAAACCTCGGTGGTGACCTTGGCCTTGGCGTTGGTGACCTTGACGCCTAATTGCTTTGCGCGGGCAATGATGTCGATGCGCTTTCGGGAAGAGACGTTGTGGGCGATTCTGAGAAAAGGGAATGTTAGCACCGGATCGAGACGAGAGGGAGATTGGACCCTCAATTGGTACTGGGTGGGACATACTCTGCGGCGAAGGTGCGGTTGTGCATGAGCAGGAGCTCAACGTCCTTGGTGTTGCTGACAAGGAAAGACTTGTGGCCGGAAGGAGTGAGGAATCGGGTCTTCTTGTTGGAGCGGAAACCGATCTGAGAGGGACCATGTTAATAAATCGGTTGTTCCTCGTACGACAACGTGTGCTGAAGACTGAGAGGTTCATTTTGTCCTATCCCTCCTCCAGAACACGCAAAGAACCCCTCTTATCTTCGGCCAACGCTGGAGGGGCAGGTAAGTTCCCGTACCTTGGGCATGGTCATGGTGCCACGGAAGCGTCTTCGGACACGGTTGTCAATGCCCTTGGGCTTGCGCCAGCTGGAGTCGACACATTTGAATCGGTCGCTCTGGTGGCGGTTGAAGCTCTTCCGGTCTGCACAAAATCCAGTCAACAATCGACGTTCCCCTTCACATGTTGCCTATTCCTCAATTCAAAAATTCCCCGACACGCCCAAATCAATTTCCATCTTCGACCCTGGGTGGACACAGTAGAAGTCGTCGATTTCGTCGATGTGGCCGCGGGGGAGTTTGATTTTTTTTTTCTGCAACGAGGGGAGGGCCAACATACGCTTCTTCACGATAGGAACGTGCTTCTTGGCGGAAACCATCTGTTGAAAAGAATGTCAATTTCGTCCAGGCGTAATCTCGATATCGTGGTGATAATACTGACCTTGTCGGCGGGTGACTCGTGGGTCGGATGGCTGTCGAATTGTGTCGCGGCGGCGTTGGTCGATACTCTTCCCAAGTCGAAATTTTGGCAATAGCCAGATTCGGCGCTAATGTTCAAGGGCTTAGGGTTTTCTGTTGTGGGCGTCACGTGGTCTCTGTGTCTCCAGGCGGTTTTTTGGCACCGAGGTCAGGCACGCACTAAAAAAAGGTCTTGTGGGCGGGCACTCTGCAACTTCATAATTTTTTTTCTGGGCCAGACAATCCAAAAAGGGAATAGCTCAGAACCCAGGGCACAAACCCTCCTCTTTCGTGCGAAAACTCGTTAGTCCGCCAACACCATATCGTGAGAATCAGTAGCAACACGCCTTCAGTACGCCAAACGACCGATCGACCACCCGGATCATCCACCACAAAGGACAGCAATCATGTCGACGACACAGCGTGTGCAATGCTTCGGCAAGAAGAAGACGGCTACTGCTGTCGCCCAGGCCCAGGTCCGCATGAACCGCCCTCCGTTGGACGTGTCGAGATGAAGGAAGAACACTCTTGAATGCTAACCTCGAAATTGTAGGCCGGTAAGGGTCTGATCAAGGTCAACGGTCGCCCTCTCTCGCTCATCCAGCCCGAGATCCTCCGCTTCAAGGTACGAATATATGCCCATGGAATCGAATTGCCCCGTGCCCCGTTGCCACCCTCGAAGTTTCTCCAGACTTTGATAATACAATTGAATCGGGATGGAGATGGGGCCATTGTGTCAAAATTTCACCATCAAAGGCAGTCTTGCTGAACAGTCTTCCTCTCTATAGGTCTACGAGCCCCTCCTCGTTGTCGGCCTCGACAAGTTCGCCAACCTCGACATCCGCGTCCGCGTCACCGGCGGTGGTCACACTTCCCAGATCTACGCCATCCGTCAGGCTATCGCCAAGTCCCTGATCGCCTACTACCAGAAGTACGTCGATGAGCACTCCAAGAACCTCCTCAAGCAGGCTCTTGTCCAGTTCGACCGTACCCTCCTCGTCGCCGACAACCGCCGTTGCGAGCCCAAGAAGTTCGGTGGTCCCGGTGCCCGTGCCCGCTTCCAGAAGTCTTACCGATAAAGGCTTGTTGTGGGACGGAAAAGAAAGGAAGAAAGAGAGGGGGGCAGAGGGGGAGAGAAAACTACCGCGACAGAGCTGGGCACAAGGGGCTGCCAAGCTTCTCTGCACAACAGCATTTGCGTTATTGCGTTGGGTGGCCTGTCGTGGCAAGTACGACGGACTATCGAACTCGGAGTCTCTATATCCTCTGGCAAGGGGATGGGTTACCCACTGGCATATGTGTGGCCTTACTTTTGGCGGATTGTAAACGGTCCGGCAGGCAAATAAAAATCCTTCAAAGTTCCATGATCTGTTTCCTCTCCCGCCTGTCCTTGATTCTCTGTGTCTGTGATGTACCAAAGGTCATCCTAGTCAAAGATAATATTGAACGTGCATATGGAATGTGTTCAGGCGAGCAGTCCTTATTGTAGACCTGTTCAGCTAGTAGGACGATTTCCGTCGACAATTCGTTCCGACAAGTATAACGTATCCAAATGTGCTGGTGAAGTTTCGATAAGTAAAGCAAGATGCAGACGTGTATGCAAAAAACAGGCGTGTTTGGCTTTCATAAACATAAAGGCAACCATTCATATACTAACACCTCGCATCATGCTCTTCAATCAGACAGGCATCAACCAGTAAAATTATTCAACAGCAACGCATCCTGAAATGGCATCCAGGATCAGGAGCACTCGCGTATTTAACCAATCTTGCGACGGCAAATGCGATCTTCCTCAAAGGTGTGTCCGAGCCGGAACATTCGTTTCAAAGCTCGTTCCTTTGCCTGGTACATCTAGTCCGACCACGAGACAAGCCCTCGTTGGTTTCCTCTGTCATCCAATTCGACCACCTCGGGCGCATATTCGCCCCTCTCGTCTTCAGCTTCCAGTTCCCCCATCTCTACTTCAATCTCCTCGCCATCTTCCAACATTATCTTGCCGCTCCGTACGTAGTTATCACTCCGAAGGTCCCACCCAAGCGGCGGTAGGGCAACGGTTGATTCTACTTGTGCAAAAGCTGTGGCAACCGCGAGCTGATCCGGAATGTCGTTGTACTCAAAGAGTTCTTCTATACGTCTCTTGTACAGAATTAGGGCCAACCGAAGCTCACGGGATTGGCTCTCGCTGTAGTCTAGAATAGACGTGTCAAAGTTGCTGTTGCTGTAGGAGAGCTGTGCTGCAAGGCATCTGAGCAGCTCAGCTGCAAGTATCGGTCTCTGGATAGGAAGAAGGTATGCTCGTAAGATGATTTTGAGTACCATGTGCCACCACTGTTGCATGCAGGCATCATTTCCAAGGTGCATGCCCACAAGGAAAGCAAATTGGAACTCTCCCACTATGTCATTCTCACTCAAGTTGACAGTTGAATCATGAACCAAGGATAGAAGATATGGGGTCGCATCCCTTGCTTGAAACGTTCGCTTCGCCCCAGTATCGCTAGTAGAAAACGTCTTGGAAAGCTGGGAGAAGGAGAAATTAAGCTCGCGGTTCTGAAGAACAGACGTAGAAATACGCTTCTCAAGCTCCATTTCGGCCGCAATTAACGTTGATCCTTTGACACGGTCCGTAGTGTTGACAAAGTAGTGGCCATCGACCTGGCCAACGATTCGATTCAAGGTGACCTCAGATATGCCACTGGCCAGCTGAGCCCATAAACGTAATGCTTCGTCCACATTGGAACCTTCGGCTATTTCGGTGTTCACAGCTGTGGGATCATTATATGGTACGAGCTTTTTGTGAATAGACTCCAAGTTGTCTGCTTGAATTCGAGCCTCGGTTCGAGAAGGCTCGCTGAGCATCTCATTGTATTTGTCCCATTGTAAAATGTGGACTTGGTGTGCATTGGTGCTGATAACCCAAACGCCGCAACGAGTCGAAGTGCCAGATGGATGTGACGTCCAAAGAAAGTGTGCACCCGGTGGGAAGTCTCGAATCCCACCAAAATGTTTCGCATTGAAGGACAGAGAATCATATCCAACGGTGAAGACTTCCGGGAGGTCCAGAACGAGGATGACATCTCCTCCACCCATCTCGTGGGATAGCCTGTCACTCATTACGGAAGACCGTTGCGGCTGCCGAATTGGCAATTGGATGCCACCCATCGGCTCATCGCCATCCAGTGGTGGAGGGGAATCGTCGTCGTCATTATTTACATGTCCTGATTGCGCCAGGGGAGAAGGTTGATCTGGCTGATGAACCCGCAGCGTGCCGAGTGGGTAAGGACCAACTACCGATACAGAGTCGTGTGACTTTGTTGACAGGCCGCCTGAAGATCTATTGGAGACAGACCTAATAATTCTGTCCATTCCCTGCCTCGGCGAGGACTTGCCAGGATCCATAATGTCCTGAGTATGTGGCTAAGCCACTACCCGTTGTGCAGCGCAGGTGGGGATTGTTCTGGCCAAGGTGCAGTTGATGCTGATCGGAAAGATTCAGATGTCAAACGCAGGGGTGTATCCAAGGAGTGCCCGTAGATGGGTAAGTAACAGTTGTTTTGCAAGAGTCCTGCTAGAAAGGCTATCACAAGACTGAATAAAAGGAGGACGGCGGTGATAGAAGCAGATGAAAAATGAGAATATTAAAGATTCACTGCGAGAATTGCGCAGCTAGAGCACCAAAATTAAAATTAAATAAAATTAGAGGGTGCAGCAACTTTGGTGAGGTTCGATGCCTTGAGAAACCTGTATTGTTTGCTGTACGTGGCCCAGGAAAGTTTTCCGACGTCATGCCCCTCCTTCCGCTTGTGACCTGTCGGAAACCTACGCCGCACCTGCAGGAGGCTCACTGCCCAAGTCCACCACAAGCCACCTGGCACCACCTGGAAGCGTGGCAACGTGGTTCCTTCCTCCCATCGAAACCATCTGGGTACTTTCGTGCCTTCCATGTTTATTGCCCCTCAACCTAGGACCCCAGTTTCAGTTTCTATACAGCTGCCTGGAACTTTGATTCCAACACACACCGCAGCAAAAGCTTGTTGTTTGCGGCCACGCCGAGCACTCTATTTCCATTGTCTATGTCATTCCATCACATTCTTTATCATTCGTATATGCACCCAGGGACCTCCGAGTTCCCAGGCACTTCTCCTCGTACATTACCTTTTCACGTATTACCGACCCGACTCCTCCGGCCTGCAATCGCCCGTCAGCCTGGGGGTGCACCGCATCCCATTACCACCCTCTTCCCATCCTCTCGGGTCCTCAAGTCCCTTCCAGGCAGGGCGCTAGCCAAGGTAGCATTGATAGATGCCCTCCCCTTGGCCTTCCCGTACGCCCAAGGCCATCTCGGCCGCGTCTTGTGTAAGGTGAAATTTTCCCGCCCTTCCTAACCGGCTTTGGCAGTCTCACGCCAGAAGATCCCTGGACTTGAACTGCCGATTAGTTCGGGGCCTTCTTCAGCCTGGGTTCCAAAAGTAACGCCAGCCGCGTGGCTCCCATGACTACTGGGTTTTTTTTAATCCCTCCCCTTACCCTCTTCTCGTTACACTTAAACAACATGTGGTTCCCTCCCCCCCCCCTCCCCCGAGCCATGCCGGAGCATGTCCTAGTACCACGCTATAAACTTTAAGTGCACATCGTTTCGCCTTCCAAGACACGCACACACCGCCGGTTTTGAATCCAAGCGGGATGGACCGTGTTGGTGCTGCAGGCAAGGCAGTCCTTGCTTCGAAAAGAACTAGCTGCTAGCACAGCCATTACTACTGCATACTAAGAAACACCAGGCAACTACCGAGCCGTTGGAGCCAGGAACAAGGCACTTTTGAATCTCGGCATGACAAATGACAACTTTGAAAAGAAAAAAGGTTTGCACGGTATGGTGTGTGCGCATGCATTATGAGAAAAACACCTGTTCCAGAGAGTTTCCGGTTGCCTGTTTCTCAAATAGGCAGTATGCAGCCTCGAAACTCTTACATATATGTTTGGAGTGCGCGCACTGCACAAGACATTGCCCGCGAATACCTCACACCCACACGCATCTGCCTCTGAAGAGGGCCAGCAACTGGGGAGGGTTCAGTCAGAAGAGGTACTCTATTCTTTTTTAGCAACCTTAGCGTGGGGCTCAACGGCCACCCCCGTCTCAGACCTGGTCAGACTATGCGGTTACACCACATGCCCTCGCCATGCGAGGCTTAACTTAATCAGGTTGGTGGTACGATCGATCAATGGGTTTATCTGGGCCAGATCTAGGGAAAGCAAAATTGACGCCAGATCTAGCATGATGCTTGTTATGCGCATGGTGGCCCGGCGGAAACCAGACCCCCAAGTATGCACACGTCTGTTCCACCAATACCCCAGACTCTCTTGTATCCACGCCGTCCAGAGTCACACTTAAACCGTCCTCGCATCTCCACGCTCCGTGTAACCTATGATGCGCCTCCCAACACACAAGTTTCGCTTTTAACTTTTCACGTTCACAGAAATTATGATCAACACGGTGCAATGAATGAAAATCAGCTGAATGAAGGGTTTTCTTGTCATTTGGTCCTCATCCAAGAGCCAGAGCCTGCCTTTGCAGACAGCCCTAGAAACGTACGCACTTTAACATCTCAAAATAGCCAGTAACAACCTGACGTTCTCTCTCCTCTGTTCTCTTGCCTTCGCCCATCCCAATCCACTCTTTGTAAATAATTTGTGGTTGAGGCCGCTGCCGAGAATCGTATCCAAGGTCAGACTTGCCAATCCATTCTCTCTGAACATCAGACTCCAGACCAAAAGATCACTCCAGAAACCGAGAATTTGAGACCAGGAAAAAAATAAAAAAGTTCATCATGGGGAAATAATAAATAAACAGACCGCCCCCCCGGTTGAAACCCCCGCCGAAATGCAACCGTCTCCCTCTCCGTAATCATCAGTTAGCATGTACGTTGAATATACTCAAAAAGTGACAGCACAACACCTCCTGCCCAAAGCCGCAAAAGACGCCACATGATGGCTCAGGGCTATATACCTGGGTAGAGACACCGCGTTTGCATGTAGTTGAAACAATTCGACAAACAGACAAAAGAAAAGCCGAACCAGAGATGCGCCGAGACCCTATAGCGGGCTCGTGTATCGGATGCTCTATAGCGTCTAAAACCTGGCGCCAAAAAGCGTGATGGTTCAAGTGCGCAATAAAGCGATGCAGCGAAGAAGTCCCAATATGGTACAGTTTTTCCTTTTGTGCTTTTTCCCATTCATTAATAAGATCGGTGACTTTCCTCCTCTATATCATCATAGTCTCGCCTGCCCTAGTGGCTAGGAGGTTGCCCACCATTAGCTTGGGTTGTTTGTTAGCAAGTGAATTCCAGGGTTGTAGGATCGGCCGTCAAACTCACACTGATTATATATGCCCTGGGTAGGCTGAGCGTAAGGAGAGTGTGGAGGAGGGTAATTAGGGTACATGTGGTTTTGGTAGTCGGGGAGGGGTTGCTGAACACCACCAGAAGGAGGCGCCGGGTACTGGGCGGGTTGGTACCCGATAGGAGGCAGAGTGACGGGTCGCGATCCTGGATAGGATGAGGTTGGGGGTCCGTCTGGGCCTTGTGGGTCAGGGCCGTTCTGTGCAGCAGCTTGAGCAGCCTGTGCCGCCTGACGCTGCCTCTCTTCCTCAGCCTTGCGCTGATTCTCCTCCTCCTTCTTGCGGGCCTTCCACTCCTTGCGTATCTCTTTGAATTCTATACAGAAAAAACATGTCAGTATCCGTGGCTGATGGTTTTTTTTCTTGTTGGGAAAACAAATTTTGAATGTGACGCGACACTGCCAAGAACAACAAGCGCGTGCCACTAGATTGGCGCTAGAAAGTTGGCGAACGCGTAGGAACTGCACCAAATCGCATTGCACGAAAGGAAAGGAGGAAATCGCGTGTTTGCACATACCTTCAGGAGTACGCTTGGGGCCGTGTGACTGCATCGTCACATGGGCATTGAGATGGTTAAGGGTCCCGTATGCCTTCTCACAGCCGTTCCAACCACACTTGTACATCCGCTCAATTTCTTCATATCGCCTTCGCGGCCGCTTGTGCTGTTGAGCCCCTGGTATGGGAACAAAAGAGTAGACCTAGATACCATTATTAGCCCAGGTTCGAACATGACGCGTCTTGACAGCCCGAGGTTATTTTTTCCCCTAATTCAACTGGTGCGAACACGAACCACGTCCAAAAACTCGGCCAAACGGTGTTTGCGGTAGTTTTTGAAACGCTTCTCAATCCCGCCATCAAAACTGCATTCTTGGAACTCACCTGGCTTGGACGAGCTTGAGGAGGCGCAGAAGCACCACCGTGGGCGTAGACTGGGTGCCCTGGGGTCAGAGGCTGAGCGTGCTGGCCGTAGCCACCCCAGTCTGGTCGCGGCTGTGCGTACATCCCACCGCTTGGGTGAGAGTAGCTGTGCGCCGCCATATCTGGGTTCGGGGCGTAGGGAGAGTGCTGCCCGTACGGATATGTAGGACTCGGAGCCGCAATGGACGGATCTATAGGAACATCGTTGTCAGACTTAGCTGAGGCTTCATGATGGTTACGCCCATCCGGCTGGGGCAAAGACGGACTGTTTGGTTGCTGCTGCGCCATACCTGCGCTGCTTGCACTGCTTGCGGTATGGTATGGGCGTTGCAGATGTTCTGGAAAAGATCCTGACCGGGCCGATGGAGGATAGACACCGTACTCAGAGGTTGGCGTGGCCGAGGTTGGGTAGGTTGCTTCCTGTTTCACGGGATATTGTGCAGCAGATGCGTGATCTGCCGACGAACCTTCAGAATTGGTGTCGCCGAAGTTGCTAGGATAGGGCGAGGGCAAACCTGACTGCGAGTACTCGGCGGTGCTGCGTTCCATGGGGTTGCGAGGACCAGAGAAGGCGTCGACAGATTCCTTGGAGCCCGGATGTTCGTAGGACGCGGGTGGGTGAACGCGATGGTCAACAGCAAGAGCGTGGCGTTGGGACTGCGCTGGCTCTAATAGCATACTACAGCAACGATAGATACTGGCCAAGCTTAGTTTCCTAGACCGCGTCAAGTCGTTGGTGGTCGACCAGAACCTAGCAAGGAAAAGAAGGTATGTCGGGTAGACCGCCTGCAAGGAAACGTGAGGCGGCGCGGCTGTATATGTTGTTCCAAAGACGGCTGGGCAGCAGTAGCGCGGATCCAGAAGCCAGGGAAAAGACCAAGGGTAAGTTAAGGTCCAAAGGTTGGTTGATGCCACCAGGAACTGGGTCCAAAGTCCTTAGGCGCGGATCGTAGTGAGAACCTGGCCTGCGATCATAAGAGTTCAAGGAACTAATAGTTGCAAGGACGGCTTGGTGCAGATTGGGGTGCGCAGGCACTAATAAGTAGTGTCAACTTCAACTTAATCGGGTCTGGTGAGTGGACCGCTGCCGAGAGATTCACAGAGTCGAACTCAGACTAGTGCAAGCTTGCGTTTGCAAACCAGGAGGGGGCGTGCACAGGCAAAGAAGCTAGCTATTCAGGACGCTCACTTGACTTTGGAGATGTCAAGGTGAACGATTCAGTCTGGTCCCCGTTGTGATCAAGAGGGGTGCGACAAAGGGGCAGTGAGGAAGCTCCTTGATTTTTTCTTCTTCTTCCTGGTCCGCCTTGATGCCAGAGATAGCGGGCGGGGATAATAAGCCTGAAAGCCGAGGAGGTCAAGATAGAGCTGTGGCTTGCTGTGGCTCTATTCGTACACGTAGCAGTACGTAGTAAATATGTACGAAGGCAGTAAAGTTCTTTTAAGACGTAATGGGGGACGTGATAAAAGGGAGACGGCCAAAATAGACTTTCAGACGGAAAGCAGTCGCGAGCACGGAACCCCGGAAAGTGTCTGGGTTTATTTTGCAACCCGCTCGAGAAGGCGACGACTGCACCGGAAGCGTGCTGATGAGGTTGACCAAGGCGGCTAAGGTCAATAAAGGCACGAGCGCGAAAGTGCGTTAGAAGGAGGAATGAATGCTTTGAGGGAGAGGTGAGCAGTGATTCGGGAGCGAAGAGTCAGTCAACGACTCCCAGTCACCTGGCTGGGGAGGTGCTACCCAGACCAGTGAGTACCCAGACGAGCGCAGAGGTAGGTACAGCCCGGCAGGTACCTACCCAGCAAGCAAGCCAGCGAGCAGGCAGTCAATGGTGGGATTGGATTGGCGCTTATCAGGGCGGCGGTATGGATGGCTGAGTAAAGAAGGAGGGGGGGTGGGTGTGAAATCGGGTTATTTCCGTCCTGGTAGCGCGCACAGCGAAAAACCCCCCAAAGCCCAGAGGAGGGTGAGGTGCGCTAGGCCACACAAGGATTCGTTTGGTTTTTGGGGCTGCGTAGTAGATCGCTCTCCACGGCTTGCCGGTGCCGGATCTGTCGCTTGACTCGCGCTCGGCCAAAGGCGGCGAAAAGCAGTCTAGGCGGATGGATAGTGCGACTTGTTGCGCCTCTCAACGGGCAACTGACTTGGGGCTGCTGTCTGGCTTCGTTGCAAGGAGGAGATGGGGGAAAGTCAGTCTCCGACGGAAACGGTGTCTAGCACTGGACGAGGGTGGATGTATGGGGGAGGGCGAGAGGGGCCAGAGTATTAAGAAAAAAATTTACAACAGGCAGAGGCACTGCGCGGGACAAGACACGGCGAGGAGATGTTCATCGATGAAAAAAGTAAAAGGCGGAACCTATGGAGTCCCTCGGTACCATGCCCAGCTCTAGGATAAACCTGGCACAAATTTGAGGGCCACCCAAGCGTACCCAGACCCCTGCCCCTGTCGACTCATCATTGCATCGCAGCTTGTACGGAGTACATGCCGCTGTGTACTCGTACGTTCTTTGGTGCCGGGTCCCCCCGGCCTGTGCTGGGGGGGTTAGAGGATGCAAAATTGTGGCGGGTTCTGGGGGGCCAACGAAACCGTGTCGATGCGGCAGCTGAAAAGCAGGTGCGAGGGCCCCAGACACAACAGGAAAATGAATGCACCGCTTCCACGAGCTATGAATTACATAATGCATCGAGCAAGCATACGGGGAAATTATGGCAGCCAGCTGCATTCAGCGATTGCCTATGCCTGGTGCATGGCATCGAATTGGAGTGCAACAATGCTGCTTGCCTGCCCTACTCGCCCGCGTGCCTAAAACATGCCGTAGGTACCTAACCTCAAGCACTGATCCTCAAAACGGGGACAGCTGTCAGACACACATGGCAAGACATTCGAGCGCAGGGGCCTAGACTGCTATGACTCCGTCCAGGTCCAGGGGGCCAGCGGTCGGTTCAGCTTTCATTTGTGATTTGGCCAGCGATGGAGAGCAGGAGACAAAGCACCGTATTGATAAAATGGAATCTGACGGCCCCTCCACCTTACATTGCTGCATCAGCTCCCAATGATATGATTTGAACAAAGGTGATGAACGCTCTAGGGTCAAGAACTATAATATTGCTTCGCACAGTGTGGTCGACGATCCCCAATCCACGACAGATCTGCGTGCTAACCCCCAATTCACCAATCACGCGGCCTGGGATTAACCCCACCAACCAGGGTGCCAGACAGAGAATGTCACTGAATGCCCAGGTTGTCTTGGCATTGGAAGTAGTCGATGCATTTCTGAGGTCTGGGTCTCTCTGGCTGTTCCTCATCCTTTGGGTTAGGGGGCGTGTCGGTGGGCCAGCGAGTGGAGGCGCTTGACGTACTGCTGCTTTAGATGGGACGATGATGGTAATACTCTGGCTGTTCGTGCATCGCATCGATTTGAAATACCTCCTAGACCGCAGGGTGGAGCGTGCCAATGCATGAGCATGACGCTGGGCGGTTTCCTGCCCAGATAGTGCAGGCAGGCTGAGTCTCAATGCATCGATTTCGACCAAGAGGCAGCTCGCCCATCGAGATGGCCGCCGATGCGGGATACAATGCAACGGCAGAGGGCGCTCACCGACAAGTTGCGTTTCGAAATTACCGCACAGCGAGCACCCGCTTACGCCTGCACCGCCAATGGATGCTGACGGGGACGAATAGAATCGATGTGATCGGGTGGGGTGGGGATTGCTGCAAAGTAACCCGCACTGCACGTCGCTGCGTCTGGACGGAGTACCTGTTTACTCTTTGCTCGCCGCTCGTCCTGCGCACATATCTCGGCGCTGAGTGGCCGGAGTGACCGTATTGAGGGCGACGGCAAGTACCTCGCTCCATTGGGCACGCACGTCTCCCACCTCCATGCCGCCGGGAGCGACAAGAGTCCAGATTGTTGGTCCAGATGGCGCTAGTTGCTGTTGCACCCGAATCGAATCTCCAGAAGTCAAGCAAAATATTCTCCGTAGGCAGGATGCACAAGTGCGAGGCCGACCGCCCTAACGTGGGCTGCGGCACGTATGCGGCCAACTGGACTCATTGGCTAGGCCAATTACTTACAGCCTTGACCAGAGATGAACCATCTCACTGGCCACAGGGAACTTAGTCGCCTTTGCACAACAGACAGCCTCCGGCCAGGAACATCTGCCGGCGCCGTTGCGTGCTAGAGGATTGCTTGGCCCAGCGAACAAGGCACCAAGAGTGTGGGCCACGCTGGGCAGGACTCGCTGTGCAGATCCACTGCCAGCTTCTCAATTGAGACGGGAGAGAGAGGCTGGTGCATCCAGGCTCAATTCGGGCACCAGTCCGTAGGGCAATGGCACAGTGTAGGGAGGAGGCTGGTTTCGAGTCAGGTCTAGATCACCATCACCCTCACGCCAAGAGGCAGCGCCTAGCGGCAATGTTTGAACAGAGGAGCCTCACACATGAGCTCCCCCATGTTCGGGCCCATCTCCATGACGCATGTTCCAAGACCAAAGGACCCCCTTTCCTTGAGGCATTAGTCTGTACCCATCATGGGGTTCAAAATCCGACCATCAAATCACATTGCAACTCCCCGATCTGCACGTACATGGAAATGGAAATACCATATGGACCTAGGGTCCGAGCTGCGGACCTCCGTCCGCCTCCATGCCATCTGAGATTGAGTCAAGACGCCTCACGAGGCCCAGACGATGAGAGGGACCAAGGGAAGGATCCTCGTAACTCTTGCTCCGGCCCAGGATGTCCCCTCTCTGCCGGTACATCTTCATGCCTGATATGAAGTTGCATCCTATAATGCACATTTCTTCATTCCTACCACAACTGCCGAAAGTCGCCGGAGACGAGCTTGCCCGCCTCCCCCATATCTGGACCGCCCACAAGGGACATGCACCGCAGTCAATTGCCTATATGTCGGTCTCTTATGACTCAACATAGAATAATATCCGTAGAGAGTATTGATTAATCCCTGGTATAATACAATGATAATAATAGGTGAGCTTGGGTGGAGGGACACTGAGCACTCATTCACCTGAGCCATATTCAGGCATCTCCACATGGGGCTTGTACCCAATACCAACACCTGGAGAAGTCCGTCTAGGTGGAGGGCGTACATGCGCAGGATATACATTGCATTTCGCCTTTTCTGATTTTCTTCTTTCTCCTCGGGGATAGGGTTTTCTTGGCGCCTCTCTACGCCCTTCCTCCGGCATTGCATTGACACGTTCTGATTGCATTGCTGATCCAAAATCGAATCCTTTCATATCTTGCAGCCTCCCAAGCTCCTCACCATACCCTGGCACGAGGTAGCCTGTATTCCCTTCTACCGAGCAGCCACGCTGAGAAGTACCTGGGTACAGGACAGGGCCAGGGACTGCGACATGGGAGGTGCAGATAACGTGCCCAAAACTGGGTCCACTGCACCGGAAATCCCCAAGCGAGATGGTACGTGCTACCCCCAACCAACAAGCGGATCAGGAGGAGCAGCAGCACGAGTAGCCCCGATGAGTGAACCATAGGCTACAGCCTGGACCATTCTGGTTCCGGTTAAGGCACACGGTCTGTTATTCAGCGACAATCAGCCTCTTCTCTCTGGACAGTTCAGCATGAGACTAATGGAATGGTCCGTATTGGCTTGCAATACGCTTCCCCCTCATTTGGCTTACCTGATCTGAATTATGC